AGCATGGCAACATAACTATGGCGCCCATTTGGAGGAGTGTGATTACGGCTCGGCATCAGAGAGGAGAGGATGAGATGCAATCAGATGCCATCTGTAGAAATGGGGCAGATATGAGAAAGGACAAGAGAGACAAAGAACAGGAGAGAAGCAAGGTAACCAGTGAATGCTGGGATTGGCAGCTTTACTTGGTCAGCTAAACCCCCATGGCTAAATAATAATCTACTTGTAGTATTCATCTCAGGGGTTTTTCATCTTCACAATCACATTCATGAAATATATTCCTGTGATGCAAAGCTGAATTTTCAGCATCATTACTCCAGTCTTCAGTGTCACATGATCCTTCAGAAATCACTCTAATATGCCGATTTTGTGTTCAAGAAACATTTTTCAATTTTGAAAACAGTCGCTTCTTAATATTTTCGTGGCTGTGACATTACATTTTTAGGATACTTTGATCAAATTCAGAAGAACTGCATTTATTTAAAATATTTTTTTCATAATTAGAAATGCATTTACTATCATGTTATGATTCTTTTTACTGTTTTTGTTTTTTTATTAACATTTTTATCATTACATAATTTATTAATATTAAAAATATATCTTAAATATTAGATGTGGATTATAGTTAAAAATAATAATGAATATTAAAATAGAACATTTATTTAACTTATGTATTATAAAAATGACATGCAGACATATATAAAAACAAATTTTAATGGTAATTAAATCTAATTTAACAAATACTTGCATAAATATTTACAATATTCAACAGACTCAGGAAAACAAATGTATATATAAAATAATAATTATCACTATTTTTCATTATAAATTTGAGCTTATTGTTTATTATTATAGGAGCTGTTTATATTTTAATTTAATAATTCTGGACATAAGCCAATTGTGTGTTTACAATTATTAAATAAGAAAAATCTAAATATGATCTTTGTTGTTGCTGTTGTATATACTTGCTTTATCACTTGTAAGAATGTTCATAAAGTTATTATATTTTTATTTTTATATTTTTATAATATTTTATATATATGTTTTAACATTTTAATTATTTTAAAAATCAGAGTCTGTAGACTTTTTTTAATTAGATGATGCTTTTTACTACGTAGGAACACGTGAATGCAATCAATAACGTAAATGCAGCATTCATTTATACATAATTTACATTGGCCATTAGCCATGTTGTCACTACAACGGCCACAAAGAACTCTCTGGAAAAAATGCATCAATAATGTAAACAATTATCAGATGATGGACTGTCATGATGATTAAGTTGAAAACCGCACTACTCCATTATTCATTTACACAGAACCAAATCCACATCACAGCCACCTTTGATACTAGCAGGTGGGGTGTACTGAAGCCTCTATGCATTATACAGTATATAGAGCCACCTTAAACACGGTTTCAACAGTGCAGATGCCAGAGAATCAAACGGACTCATTCACACTCACTCTGTGGCTGTAATTGGCTGTGGCTGATATCTAAGGAGTTATTCTTTTTCCAGGCCACCAGTAATGAACTTTATAGGCTACTCTTAACCTTTAAACCCTCTTTTATCCCTACTGAAAAGAGCATCATGACACTGTTCTGCTTAAAGCCGATAAACAGACCATCAGAGCTACGAGATGAGACTCCGAGAGAGAGGATGAGTGAAAATGACAAGTTTCTAATGTGATGCCAGTTGAGATTGGATTCTTCATTATGCCAATTACGGGCCACTGGAGGGGGAGAGCACTGCGGTTTGGGACTGGGAGGTGGCAAGACACTCAACCTGATTAAACAGAGAAATGACTGAAGAATTCCAGCAATTTACTCAGCCGAGGCACAACCTGAGCAAGACACTGGAGTAATTAACAATTACTGCACATTCACTGCTTAGCACAGATGTTAATTAAACATGCTATTCTACTCAAAAAGAAGTGACTGGTGATTCAGACGGCCCAGCATATACTTTACTCTGACCCTGCATCTGATGCCAGCATGCATGAGATTGGAATCTACAAAAAGCATTGACAGACTACAGTCTAAAGAAAAAGTAAAAAATTAAATTAAAAAAAATCCATCAAGAAACACCCCAATTTTTTTCTAAAAGACTCTAGATGCAGAGGATAGTTTATTAAATTATTACGCTCTTCAACTTAATTTCATTTTTTATTATTTATATATTTTAATCAATTAACTAATTTTTAGCTTCTACTGCATTACAGTAATCATTTTTTAACTGTTTTACTGAATTTAATTTATTGTGTTATATTGTTACTTTTTTTCTCTAAACTGTAGTAGTTATTTTTTATTTCAACTCTTTAATATTCAATAATTTAAAAGATTTTTGCCGATTTTTTTATTCCAATTATTATTTATATTTATTAATTCAAATGTTATTTTTAGTTTCTATTACGTTACATTAATACTTTTCTATTCAGTGTAGTAGTTAGATTTTATTTGTTTATACCAGTTTATATATGTTTTTATCAGTTAAGTTTTAGTTTGTTACATTACTTTTTTTCAATTCACTGCAATACTGTTAATCTATATCAAGTTATTTATATAGTTATAATTTTAATCTAATGTTTTTTTAATCAAAGTAATAACATTTTTATTTGCTTTTATATGTTACAAAATTTCTTAACTTTTCCATGGAGCCCAACTTCAAAACCCTTGCATTTAACAGCCACTTAAAGTACAAATACACACATTTGTCAAACAAACTACGAGTCTGCCTCAAAGTGCACAGTAGACTAGTATAGTTCCTCTGTCAGTTATAGGAGAAGAGAAAGGGGTTTTATTTCCCAGTTCAGCAGACTAGGTGTTTGTGTATGGTTATGAGGCTGTGGCTGGCACTCCAGTCATTTTGAATAATGCATGTTGGGTAGTTTATGCATAAAGGACAAACACTTTGAGGTGCTGTGCAGCGGCTGAGAAGCCTCACGGGGACAAAAAAATACTGAAGACTCATCTTGCGCTTATGGTAGGGCTGGGAAATATCTCGAATATGCACCGAGAACCATAGTGACAAATATGCAGGTGTTATAACATTTTGCATTGCTGTAACTATTGCGATGATTTTAATGTACTTATTATTTGGCCAGACTAAGGTTTGTACATAAGGTGTCGTCATGATCAGTTGAGATTCATATGGCAGAGGAATAGCTTCTCAGTAGGAATCATTTCCGTGAACCAGTTCAAACAATGCGATTCAACGAATCGATTCAAACCGCCGAGTCAATGATTCATTTACGTCGTCACTCAAATGTTCAGGGAAGGCATATTAAAACGCATATTTTTCATATTAAAACAATTTGTTGCAGTAATCAAGGCGTATGTTATGCCCTGATTATCGTGACTAGATTTTTACGGTTTTAGTTCTGGCTTTAGATGGCCACAAACAGAATGCTTTATAGTTTATTTACATTTGTTCAATGTTATGTCGTGCATTGACATTAGGGAACTATACTACAGAAATCTTACAGCAAAAGTAGATTTTCTTAGATTCTGCTAAATATATTTATTTTTTATATTTTATGTATATTATATATTTTTTTCAAAGTGCTTTTTTCCCAGGTATTTTTTGATACATAACAGAAATCACTAGGTGCTATGCTACTTTTCATACTACATTTGTGACATCATGAAGAGAATCCTCAAAAATAAGAAAAGCTGATATCATTCTTTAGCAAATTTACCAGCCCCTGACATGCACATGTTGCTTTTTTATGTTGTATTTTACGACATATTTTGTAAAGTGATCAGTGCAACAAACCCATTTTGGGGGGGGGTATTATTATTGTACAGATGGGTGATTGTCGTATACATGCAAGATGTTTGTCATCAAACGAATGTAATGGGTTAGGACAGGTGTCAAATGTGCAGAATAAAGACAAAAGTACATTTATAGTGCCTACCAAGGTGGGAAATATTTGCAATGTGCAGACAAACATGAATGGGGAGGTTTGCAGCACATCAGACAATCGAGTGAACGAGAGTGGAGCATGCAAGTTTTTTAGCTTTTTTTTTTTTTTTTTTTAAATCAACATTATGGTCTTTGAACCATGATTTTCTTCGGTGAGCTATAAACCAAAGTCTTCTGGCTATTTAAAAGTTACAAGCCCTTCAATATATCCCACCTCTACTTCATGTTTCTCCAACAGAGAAAAAAAAAACTGCATTTGTCAAGCCATTTTATTGCATGCACAGTCAAATACAAGCACAGAATGTCTCTCACATTTTGCATTGCATGCATTAAGACACACAAGTCCAAGTATGAATAGATAAATGGGACACCATTGAGATGAACTGTATGGCGCAAAATTAAAAATACACACACACAGTCCTGCCTGCACTACTGGCCCACTTCCCTCAAGATTTTACTTTTGTCCGGAACAACTGGGCTGGCAGATAAAAGAGACCGAACAGTATAGCGGAGGAGGGAGAGAGAGACGTCGACAGACGGGGGATTTTTGAGGCTGAGCAGAAAAGTGCAAGTTTATTGAGAATAGATATTGCCACGTTTTTGTTTTATTTGAAATTTCTTTCTTCAGAAAAGTTTCAATCTAGTCATGCATTTCAACTCAAAGGTGTGAACGCCTCAAAGCGGGTGTCATTGATCTTATAAAAGAACAATAAGAATAGAAGATAAGAAATAAGAAAAAGGAAAAAAAGTGATGCTTGGATCCTCTGGTCTGTTAATGGGTTGGACCGATGCGTCATTCCTCCTGGATTAGAATTCCGGCTCTTATAAATAGGAGGAGTATTTTTATCCCTTGGTCTTCTCCTCCACCCTTCCCTTTCCTTCCTACTCTGAATAGTATTAATTGCAAATCATCCATTCAGCCTAATAATACACATAATAAAAGCAACAAACGCAAGAGCGTGAATGCCATCAGAAGCTATTTATGGTTTTGATGAAGGCACTGCAATCTCATAGCTCACCGGGTTTAGAAAAAAAAAAAAATCGAAGAACGGTCTTGAAATCAAGTCAAGATGAACAGAGAGGGCAAAATGAGAGCGGGAGCGATGGTTAGTGGGCTGACTGGCTGCAGTGGTCCATTTAGCTGCTTCCCAGATGGTCCGAGGGAGGAAAAAAACAAAGCGATAATCACTATCACAAACCTGCATCATGAAAACGTGCCATCAGGAATATTAAGGGCTAATATTAAGGCCTTTTTATCCTCAAACCTGTCATGTGATACAATGATTTCTCCATTGATTTAAGATGACAATCATGTATGATCTTGTTGAAGAGGGGGTTTGGCAGTTCTTTGTCGGCATCTATGGTTCGATGTAGAAGCTTTAAATGGATAGCTAACCAAAAAAATTTATATTCTGTCATCAACCTTCTGCTGAAGATTGTTGGTAACCAAACAGTTTCTGGTCCCTGTTGACTTCCATAGAATTTGTTTTCCCCATACTATGGAAGTCAGTGGGGACCAGCAACTGTTTGGTTACCCACATTCTTCAAAATCTCTTCTCATACAGGTTTGGAACAATTTGAGGGTGAGTAAATGATGACAGACTTATGTGTTGGTGTGGACACCAACATAGTTATTGTTCTTGGGCTTTAACATCCATTGCACTAAATGTTCTTTACAGTGGAAAAGTGTTCATCAAAAGGTTCTTTGAGGAGCCAAAAACAGTTATTCTATGGCATCCTAGAAAAAAAAACTACCTTTGGAACCTGTATTTTTATGAGTTTACCTTAGAATACTATGATTTAATAATATGGCAATCATTCAGTACCGTGGTATATCAAAAGTATACAGTACTTCCATCTGACCTAACGAACATGATTACTGTTCATGCTGTAAATGGCCTAGTCAAATTTTTCATTTAGGTTTTAGCTATAACTAAAGGTTACATCTCTTCAAACTCTATAACTACTTGTGGAACAGTTAATGTTTTTGGTCTCAATAAGATCAGTCTGAAATAATTCTGTTTTAATAGCATTTCACGTGATTTTAACTCTTAATTAATCCATCTGTTCAAATAGTGTCTGCTGCCACCAAGTGGACAGATGACTCAGGTTTTACACTTGCATCACTTTCTAAATTATCACACATTCACTAGTAAAACGAGATTTCATAACACTGCGTGCATTGTGTACACATATATAAGCTCTGCTATCTATGTGCCCAGAAGCACATGCTCTATCACAGCACCTTAATAATTTACCCCTCCTCCTCCTCCAGCTACAGAATTGGATTGCTCCCAGAGTATCAATTGAAACTCCTATTCATGAGGAAAAAATTGAAGACAGTGTATTTTTTCATTAGCATGGATTATGCTGGATGTGACTCCGGCCGAGGTTTTAGCATGCTGTGGGTTCAACAGCACAAACCGTGAACATCACATGTATGTATTTTCATACATAGAATGAAGCCTGGCTGCATGACACGTATGAATTAATCAGTTGCCAAAGGGTGTTTATCTTTGGAAGTGCGCTCGCTTTCAAATTTAGCTGTAAGTGACAAAGCAGGTGATGGAAATTTCCCATCATGCCCGCAATCTGTCCTCTCCCCCAGTAAACTCAGCAGATTGCATTTTCTCATAAGACAACCAACCCCCTCCATTAAACAGCGTTACCATGACGCCTGAGAAGTAGTGAGGAAATACTCCAGCATCCACCTCGACACCTACCATTACCATTAGTAGCGCTGTCTTACGGCACACCAGGGCTGAAAGAATCGTACTGCTAATGGTACCGGAAATCCATCATTGTGCTTTCTGCTATTATGAACACTGTGTGTAATTATGTTGGCTTGACAAATACTCGGGGTCAGCGGGGTTTCTAAAAGTGCTATGTCTTCTCTAACTGCTCAAACTTACACTTTCCAGAAGCAGATGGTTAAAAAACAACAACAAAAACTAAACCCTTTAAATTTCCTGTTTAAATGTTCTTGTAGAGCATTCAAGCAACATCCAGAATGTTCATAAACTGAAACGCCAACTGTCATGTTGTAAACGCTTTTAAACAAAGCATCGTAATAAAACAGAAGCTGTGTCTCATTTTGTAGGCTGTGGCCGACAAATTAAGCACATCAATTTAACTCCGGTCCTCGAATTTGATTGGCCGAGAAATGTTCCAAGAGTACAGTCGCAACAATAAAAAGTGCAGAGACGTTTAACTGTTTTAATATCACTCCACTTGTCTGTGTTTGTGCATTCCATACAGACGTTTTTTTAATTCACATTAAAAACAACTTGCGTAAAATTATACCAAGTATGGAACAACAATTACAAAAATAAATAACCAGTTAAAACATTTAAGTTCAGAGTAGTTTTTGACATTTCAAAGATCTATTTTTATTTTTGCTGATCATAGACTTTTAGAGATGATTTTTCATTGATGCTTTCTACGGATTACACAGTTACACCAGTAGGTGGCGACCAGTAAATGTCTGTATGACTGAATCAATGAATCACTCACTCGGTTCATTCAGAAACAAAAAAATATATACTGGATGAGTCCGAAATCACATACTTGAGTAGGTACTTCTTTTGAAGAAGTAATTAGCAATGTTTAAAAAAACTTTTTTTAAAGTATGTTTTACATAGCATGAATGTGTGTAGTATGAATGATTTACATACATTTCAGAAACTTGTTATAAATTGTTGGCCATCCTTGGACGTTTTGCCTACCGTTTTATGAATACTATGAAATCAGACATACTACTATTTGCACATATTGCTTTTCACCTATATAGTAGGGAAGTATGTGATTTCAGATGCAGCCACTGTCTTTGAGTGAGTCATTGAATTATTCACTCAACCGATTAGTTCAATCTTTATAGGCAGTAGTTTTAATAAGAATCCATGCAATCAGGAATTTCGAGTGAGGGTGAAAGATATTTCCCACACAGATTTTGCATCGGGTTAAGCTGGTCATGTGAGTTTGCTATGTAGACCAACAGACAGCTAGCTGCTTGATTTGAAACTGACTTCTATGTGACCTTTACTTCATACATTCCTACACTATTGATAATAGACAAACAACATTTTTAGCTGAAATTTAGCTAATGTGAGCCACATCTTTACTAAATATTGACTTATTGCTCATTGAACTGTTTTATAAAAGAAATACCACATTTGTCATTTATCAGTTTTCTTTTGTCAGATTTATAATGACTCCTAAGTAGACGTGAAACTTAAAATCTGTGCCAACCTTCAAAACACAATAGGAATGGTGTTCGTTCTTGTTGACTCTCCTCAGTTTGCGTCACAATCCACAGGAGATTAAGCCCACTTAATCAAACACTGTCAAAGGAAGGACGGTGCGCCCCGCTATACCTCTGTATTCTCCATCCACAGGTGCAAGGTCATTAACGTTGCTAAGCGATTGTCCCACAAACCAGGTGTTTCAAATCTCTCTCCCCCTCTCTTTAAATGGCTTTTCCCCCCTTTCTGTCCTCTATAACGAGAAATCTGTTTGAACAACTCCAGTGCAATTCGGTGTTAGAAATATGCAGCTTTAATTCTGAGCCCTAGAGCCTTTATTGCCATTTACATCCTCATTACAAATTACCAGGGATCCATTAGGTTCCTGTCATCCCCCGTATCTCATTAAGATGGGCTCTATCTAGCCCACTCCTGGAGGCCCAGCCCAGGGACAAAAAGAAAGTAGAGATCAAGCACCTTTCAGGAGGATGTTCACATACTGATGAGGTGACGGGGTGCCGCCACTAGGCATCCATCTTTCTTTATTTGCAGAAAGAGAGTTCTTGGGATATATGGACAGTGCAGTGGTCGAGAGCAAGAGTTTTATAAAACGCATATGAAGGGATCTGTTGACCTGTGAATCTATAGAGGCCAGTCACTTAATGAGTCAGTCTTTAACTCCCATAATGCACTTTGAATATCATACATGCATACATAGATAAACTATTTAATTCCACCTATTTGAACTCTTGCCTCTACAGAGAATAGTAGTACTGAGATTAAAACTATAGAGAGTAGAGGGCCTTCCACAACTATTATAACTATAAAGTTTTATTAATTGTTCTAATTTGATCAGAATAGCAGAGTCTACATCACAACTATAACAATAACGACACAGAGGAACAATAATGTTGGAGTCACTTTAAGAACTTTTTTTTTGTTTTGTTCCAAAACATTGATGGCTGATTAGAATAGTTATTGCTAGTTATCTTGGAATGGGCCTTAAGGGTTTATTTTGCCATAATGACCGGCTGTATATTATCCTGATTATTTACTTGACAAATAAATACATGGAATACTCATTCAAGTAGTGATGGGAGCTTTCTAAACACTGCTTTGCGAAGCTTCAAAACCTTTGCAAACAATTAGTTTTGAACCAGTGATTCAGAGCGCGTATTAAACTACCAAAGTCATGTGATTTCAGTAGGCTTTGCAAAGACATTTTAAAGCAGCACTATGTAACTTTTTCTGTGTTCAAAATTTGCAAAATGTATCAAATGAGCGAGTACATCATGAATTCATCTTCCAAACCGTGTTTTTGTCTACCTTTCACACCAAAAAGTGTAATGAATAAACCTCAGGCTGAAAGAAAAGTAAATTCACGTCTGTACTCTGTACAGTAGAATGCAGGAGAAGAAACACTCTTCAGCAATAAAAAAAAACAATGAAGCACAATTGTTAGTTTATCTAAAGTCATTTTTGCTTATTAGTATGGATCATCAATGTGTTTTTTGAACATTAAAGCATGTCAACATATTCTGTTACACCAAATACACAAAATAATGATCTTTAAAAAAAGCATCATATGACCCCTTTAACCGCTTAGAGTGCCAAAAGTTACAGAGTGCTGCTTTAATGACACATTTGTATAATAGAAAGACATGTAGTTATTAGTCTTTATCTGCCTAATTAACCAATCTCTCCATAAACAGAACAAGGCCAACAAATTAATAAAAAAATAAAAAAATATGCAGACACTTTGCATTTGTTAATTGATTTTAATATATTACACTGTCAAAACATTTTAAATTAATTAGTTAAGGGTGTTTTTATGCATGTTTGGCCTGAGATTTCGTTGCATTTACACCATTCTGACCAGCAGGGGTCAAAAGCGTGTGAGCAAAAAAAATAATAATAATTTGCTAAGCAATTTTGGTTCGATTGACTCAAGAGATTCGAAAAGCTTCATTTCTCCTATCACTATTCAAGTACTAATAAGTACCTCTATAATTATCTTAAAATTAAGAACAAGGGTCCTTTACGATGAAAAAACAACAACAACACGAACACTGAATTGCACTTAGGCTATATAACAGAAATATTTAAGGGCCGATAAGTGTAAGTACTAGAGAATTTTTTATTTTATTATTATAGCTGATGAACGATAAAGACAGCCAATCATAATTGCAGCGGGCCCAAATAGAACGTTACCGTCCGTTCTGAACGCTAATATAAAGTTGCGTTCTTTCTGTGAACGGACAAATGAGACGCAAGACGGCACAGTCGCGTTTGTATAAAACTAGTAGACATAAAAAAAAATTTTTTTTTAAAGTACAATAATTAGGAATTAAACACCTGAACACGGGATAGCGCGATGGAACAATCGGAATCAAGTTTTCTAGAAAGTGCAATTAGGATGGTTAAAGACCAAAGACAGCAATAGATCTTACTCAACCAATGTGTCCAAAGAAGCAGATGATCGTTCTGCGATCCTCTTCATCCTCCTCTTCCTCACTGCATCCGATTCCTGCACCAGCGAAATGGTCATCGATCACTATGAAAGCCCAAACCGAGCAATATGGAACTCTATAGAACTGAAGTGACTGAAATATTCCAGCTTTTTCATATTTATTAGGACTCTGACATGATGATAGATGAGCAGAATATCTGATACAAACCGCATACGTTTAACAAAAACAGAATATTGATGTCGGTTGCAAAATAGCACGCTTTGTCTGCACTGATTGGATTCATATAACTGAGAATATTAGGCTACGCATATTCAAATTACGTGGCAGAAAGTTCATCAGAATCAGGAAAACACAAAGTTATGCGTTTTCATTCTGCTCATTAAACTGGAAGGAAACGAGCTTGATAATTTGAGCATTTCACATTACAGCACGCACACATATAATTTGACAGCAGCACATTTAATACACGTTTCAGGCCTCAGAAGCTACATTCTGAGTGTACTCAAGAATCTAATCTCATCATTCCAGTCGTAGTTACCTATTTTAAGTCATTTTCCTCCTGACATGTTTAATACGGTTCACCCTAAGTTGTGTTAGTGATGGGGCCAGAAAGGAAACAGATCTTTTCTCTCTCAAGATATCGTAATACACCTGATAACTACAAATACTTGTGCTTATTTTAAATGACTTTCATTGATTTATCTGGGATAAATTGAGGAAAATACTGCTATTTTAAATCTCAACCAATAGGCTAATTCAAACACTGACCTGAAGGACCTTTTCTCCTGGCCAGCTTTCATTGATTGCGCCTGTAACTAATGCCTCATTAACTGCACCTGGCATTTAACTAGTGTGAGAGCGCCCTCTGGTGGCTGCGAGTGCAACAAACATATGTCACACAAGCAAAACAGACATGCATAAATATCTCATGCTAAAAGATATATTGCTATTTTTATAAATATGTATGGCAAATGTTGATATGATATAGCAGTTAATTATTTTTGTTAAAGTACTGTCTTTTTTTTTTTTCGTTTTCTTTTTTTTATATTTAAGAAAAAGAACAATGATGCAGTTTTTTCCATGTTTATAAAAATGTTATTATTTTTTTTATTTATATTTTGAATTATGTTTTAGGGTGTAACATGTCTATGGACTACAGATGAAAATGGCTTTTGGCAAACTGTAGTGTATTTACAGTAATGTTTATTAATATGCACTGTCCCTGTTAAATAATATAATAGGCAAATGGACATCAATAAACAGCACGTTAGCAATTAAAACTTTAATATGCCAGCACAGTTTTACCAAACAGTAGATTAAAATATCAAACAATTAGTGTCTCTCCATACATTTCTATTTTAAATTCATAGATATAAAATCACTATAAAATGTTGCTCTTTAACATAGTCACTGTAAAAACTGTGGGATTTCAAACATTCACATGCTGAACGGTTTTTGCTACACCGTTTGGTACAAAAAACAATCTAACCAATCACACAACCCAGTCTGCAGGGTTGCTGGGCCACCCAGGACCGGTTTAGACCCAGTGTGAGTCTGAACTTGGTTCACTAGGACTTAAACATCAGGCTTTCTCTGTTCAAACTAAGCCTTTGATCAGGACCGGCTTCAAACCTAGTCCAGACTAGATCGTGTTATTCCATCATAAAAATAAGACCAGTTTTAGTGGTAAATTATGTCTGTAAATGGTCCGGACAGTAATTTTGGTAACAAGATGGATGTGTCTTTAGCATGTAGCATCTTCAAATTAGTATTTCATCATTCACTTCTCTTCTCCATCAAACATTCTCTAGTCTCACAACATCTAAAATACAAAAAAATGACGGTACATTTCCGAGTGTGAAATGAGCACATAATGGACTTTGGATAAAGCGTATGCAGATAAAGAAGACAAAGACGTTTTCTTGATTAATATGTCATGAAAAGGCATTGTCGGTGAGTCCCGTCTCTCCCAGGATGATCAGTAGAGTCTTTGCATAGTGGAGAGGGTTTAAAGACAGTCTTTAAGGCACAGTGACGTGGAAAGGGCTTCCGGGCACCATTTCTTCTCCCCATTTGACTATCAGGATGTAGTCGCCTTTCTCCTTCACTGTGTATGTGACATTGTACATTCTGTTGCCCATGTGTTTGACGTACACTTCCTCACAGGGAGTCTTTGGCCCGTGCACTCCTACCATTAACATGTTTGTCCCTGAACAGACAAAATCAAAGTCATCTGTATGAGAGCATTGTGGGTAATATGCATAAACATGCATTATTTTTTACTGTTCAGAAAGCTGTACCTGCTTTACTGCAGTCCACCGTGAAGGCGTTCTTCTGGCCAATGAAGGCTTTGGAGAGTCCGGCCCCCCTGGAGATCACCTTACTGGCGTCGGACGAGAACTTTGGCAGAGTAGAGAAAGATCCGGCCACTGACGATGATGATTTCATCACCGTTTCCACCAGAACCGATGATGTTTCGTGTAGAGAGTGTCCTCCGGACAGACGTGCACCTGGAAGAGTTGATTTCTTCTTATTAATTTGCTTCTTTATAAAAGATGAGTTGTTGTGCTAGTTGGTGGAACGATGTTCGCTGTCATTTTCCCCCTCCAATTTTTTAATCTCAAACTCAAGTAAACAGTTTCACACATTTTTATAGTTGTCAAAAGCTTGTATGGTTTCAAATCCAGTCCATCACATTATGGAGTATTCATCGTATGATTAACCTGCCTGATCATATAATATCACAACCAGATTTTCCTTTTTTAACATGAGTGCTAGAAACCTTTTCAGCTTTTAAAAATAGTTATTTACTCATATTTATGTATTTGTCCCAGACTGCAATAAACAGCCTTTTTATATTTAAGGAGCAAAAAAAGCATAATAAATATAATATAATATAATATAATATAATATAATATAATATAATATATAATATAATAAAATATAATATAATATCAAACATTTAAGGAACAACAATGCAGTTTTTTCATGTTTATAACCATTTTATCAACATATTTGTTTTTTATTTTATATTTTGTGTTATATTTTTATATTAATAATATTTTGTTTTTAGGGTGGAACACAGATAAAAAATACTGCTAACTGCTAACTGTGGTGCATCTACAGTAATGTTTGTCCCTGTTACATTAATAATAAACAAATAACAATAATATAATATAATAGGGTGCACTACAGATAGAACATACCTTTTGGCTAACTGTGTGTAAATCACACCTGGCTCTGTGTCTGTCCAAGCATATGTAAAGAGGAGAAAAGGCCTAGTGTAATGAACTGTAGTGTGTGATGTCTCACCAGAGACTTTGGCTTTGAAGGGGCTGCCCACGATATGCTGCATTAACATGTTTGTCCCTGAACAGACAAAATCAAAGTCATCTGTATGAGAGCATTGTGGGTAATATGCATAAACATGCATTATTTTTTACTGTTCAGAAAGCTGTACCTGCTTTACTGCAGTCCACCGTGAAGGCGTTCTTCTGGCCAATGAAGGCTTTGGAGAGTCCGGCCCCCCTGGAGATCACCTTACTGGCGTCGGACGAGAACTTTGGCAGAGTAGAGAAAGATCCGGCCACTGACGATGATGATTTCATCACCGTTTCCACCAGAACCGATGATGTTTCGTGTAGAGAGTGTCCTCCGGACAGACGTGCACCTGGAAGAGTTGATTTCTTCTTATTAATTTGCTTCTTTATAAAAGATGAGTTGTTGTGCTAGTTGGTGGAACGATGTTCGCTGTCATTTTCCCCCTCCAATTTTTTAATCTCAAACTCAAGTAAACAGTTTCACACATTTTTATAGTTGTCAAAAGCTTGTATGGTTTCAAATCCAGTCCATCACATTATGGAGTATTCATCGTATGATTAACCTGCCTGATCATATAATATCACAACCAGATTTTCCTTTTTTAACATGAGTGCTAGAAACCTTTTCAGCTTTTAAAAATAGTTATTTACTCATATTTATGTATTTGTCCCAGACTGCAATAAACAGCCTTTTTATATTTAAGGAGCAAAAAAAGCATAATAAATATAATATAATATAATATAATATAATATAATATAATATAATATAATATAATATAATATAATATAATATAATATAATATAATATAATATAATATAATATAATATAATATAATATAATATAATATAATATAATATAATATAATATAATATAATATAATATAATATAATATAATATAATATAATATAATATAATATAATATAATATAATATAATATAATATAATATAATATAATATAATATAATATATAATATAATAAAATATAATATAATATCAAACATTTAAGGAACAACAATGCAGTTTTTTCATGTTTATAACCATTTTATCAACATATTTGTTTTTTATTTTATATTTTGTGTTATATTTTTATATTAATAATATTTTGTTTTTAGGGTGGAACACAGATAAAAAATACTGCTAACTGCTAACTGTGGTGCATCTACAGTAATGTTTGTCCCTGTTACATTAATAATAAACAAATAACAATAATATAATATAATAGGGTGCACTACAGATAGAACATACCTTTTGGCTAACTGTGTGTAAATCACACCTGGCTCTGTGTCTGTCCAAGCATATGTAAAGAGGAGAAAAGGCCTAGTGTAATGAACTGTAGTGTGTGATGTCTCACCAGAGACTTTGGCTTTGAAGGGGCTGCCCACGATATGCTGCGGTCCTCCATATTTGATGGAGATGAGGTAGCTGCCGGGAGCCATGGGTGTGTAGGTGACCTTGTATCCTTCTGGACACTCCTGACAATCCATCTTCACCTTCGATGGGCCGTCGATGGTGACCGACAGAGCTCCTGAGCCAGCGTTACACGTGTTTACAATGAAATCTGAGGGTACACCTGTGAAGGATGAGATGAAGCCAGTGAGTTTCTGTGCGTTTGTGTCTGAACACTCGTGATTGGCTACTTGTTGGTGTCACACCTGTAGTTCCCCCCTCTAGGCCGGGCCCAAAAGCCGTCACCATTCCTGGATCTCCTGCCTGGCCGGGTTCCCCAACACGGATCTTGAAGGGACTGCCTGGGATGTGACTCCCATTAAAACGGACATCGATGGAGTGGACGCCGTTCTCCCGTGGAATAAACCGTATGGCATGCTTATCTGCACAAACAGGCACAAAAAGTTCAAATGCAGTTTCTATCCATATGCTTGTGTCTTTAAATTTTACATTGATCATATTGTAGATTTGGAATCTTAGATAAATTATAATACATAAACTAAAATAATATAATAAAATTGTTTAATCAAAATAATATATTAAAAACTGAAGAATATATATATATATATATATATACACACACACACACACAAAAATATAAAAAAATATGTT